GGGGCGGCCGCGGACCAGCCCGGCCGTTACCCGAGACCCTCGTGAGTGCAAAGAAAAAGGGAGAAGGCGACTTTTCCCCGTGAGACCCTCGCTCCTGCCGCCGCCTGATGAAGAGACACCCCCGGCCACCCCGCCGTGCCATCTTCTGCTCCTCCTCTTGTCCTGCACGCTTCCCTCCCCTCTTACCCCTTTTTACCCCCGTTACTCCCCTAAAGCTCCTTACAACAAACCTGATCTCATGCCCGAGCACCTGCTCCGTCACTTGTATAAAAATACATTTTAAATACAGGCACGAATGCAAGCACACACAGTTACATTCTAAACTCCGGACACGATGCATCAAGCAGCCTATAACCACCCGAGGGGATGATGCTGGAACCCATTTCTGCAGTCCCACAGTTCATCTTTTGCCAACGATGAATGTGTCCAGTTCAACCCAGCCTTATCTTCACAACTGAAGAAAAAAAAAAAAAGGGTGGGGAAAAAAAATAAAATAAGGCGTTTCAGCAAATTGCATCTGCTCTTTGTATGGAAAAAGCACTGCTTAAAAGCGCTACGTATTATTTTAGCCAAAACAAGGAAAAAGAGCTAATACCGTGGATCAAAGCTCTGCCATCACTGCAAAAAAAAATCCTGAAGATGATCTATTCTGTCCTCCTGTGTTACACAGGCCAAAAAAAAAAAAAAAAAAAAAAAAAGTTCTACCCCATCGTTCTTGTTCAGGTCCTGGGAGTAGAGATCATGTGCACTGTTGTTGTTTGCCAGTGTGCTCTAAGGCATTCTTGGAGCACTTAAGACCGTTGTCTCATCTTACTAAAATGCTGTCCGGCAGCTCTTTACTTCCAGACTTTTCTAAAGCTGTAGTCAGCATGGTTACGATGACCAGTGAAGATGGAAATGTTAGCAATTTTAAAACAAAGAATAGAATAACAAACAAATAGAAATGTTAGCAACTGTAAAACAAACACATTTTCTTGCACGTTTTAGTCCACGCGTTCCGTTCCAATCAAGCGATACACAACCAAGCTTGTAGCAGACTGATGCCTTGAAAACAGTTTCTGTTCCGGGAGCCAGGCTGCCACAGAGTAGTACCCCGGGGGAATGGAGCAGTGAATATATTTGCACGAGGTAGTAAGACCGTGGAGTTACAATCACGTCAGGAAGCTTTGGCCATATCATAGCCCCTTGGGGGGACCCCAGTGCTCCCACATGCGGGTACTGGTCCGTTAGCTCGTTCTTTGGCATCGCTGAAAGCAACTTAAAGCAGTGCTTGACCCGCAGCGTCTGTCTTTATAGTGTCAGCTTCTCTGGGTCTGATCCAAAGCCCACTGACAGCAGAGAAAAGCTCCCGCTGACTTCCAAAGGATCAGGATTGGGCCTTCCATGAGCAAAACTCTTCTCGTTTCAGTGTGTGCAGAGCGTGAAACAAAAACATTCAAGACCCAGCTTTGGTAATTAACAGCTTTTTTTTTTTTTTTCTTGGGTTAGCTGTGTCTCTCTGAGTTACAGAAGTGCAGTACGAGTCCTGCCTCTCGGGAGGAGCGGTCTCTGTGTAGCCGCCAGCACACAGACCCGCAGCAAAAGGTAAAAGGTCCCAGTCTTTGGGGATACGTACCTGGAGACATCCAGAGGGGTCTGAAACACAACGGTGGACAAACAGTCTCTAAATACCAGGCTTCTTCAAGTTATCTCATAAAATAATTAGGATCCGGGGTATGTAAAAAGCACTTATTCTAGAACATAGGCTGCTGAACCCCCGACAGGTTAGTATTTATATGACAATATAGTTATGAGTAAGCAAAACAGGTTTTTTTTTTTAATGTTATCGTTTATCTGTTGGCTGCCCACTGCGAGGAGGATGAGAGTGTGTTCAGATGTCAAGCAAGTCCTCAAGTTCTAGTCCATGAACGAGTCACCCCCCGAAATCCCGTTCAGCAAGTCCAGCTCAGGCTCTGCCCCGCCTGATGCTCCGGTGGGCGATGATCTCCGGAGCGATGCGCCACTGGAGGAGCCGAGGGGTGCCCTTTGCCAAGGCGGACAGCACCCTCGTGTGGAACACCGGAGCCCCTGCACACCCCCCCGACCTGGCTCCATCCAACTCAACACAATCGGATGCTGATGTGCGCCGGGGCGCTGCCGGCCAGCGCTCCTGCGTGATGGGGCGCGGGGGTTTGGGCAGAGCTGCTGGACACCGCAGCCTGACTCATCCCCCTCCCCAGCAGCAGATCTCCCTCGGTTATAGTGTGGAAAATAGCTGGATTCTTTCATTTAAATTTAATTCACTCCGAGTCATGACTCTCTCGTGAAACCTCATCCTACCATCTTCTTCACGCAGCTCTCAACCCTAAAGATCCCAAGGCCATGATTATTTAAGACCAGGACACAGCATATCCCCGGGATTAATAATACACCTACTCCCGGAATCCATCCTGTTCATGAAGAAAGGGGGAGGCCGTCTTCAGTAGATACTGCAGTTTCTCAGACCTTGAGAGAGGATGCTGTGCGACAGCGTCTAACTGGAACGGCGCAGATAATTCAGGGATGGGCGCGCAGTTATTTACACCTGGGATCTGACAAGATGCTGTTGCTAAACACGACCGTCCTTCTGAACGCGCCCTTCTGATTATCGCTCTGTGTCTATGTCAGAGTAAGTCGGGAATTCGGGAGGAGTCATCAGTAGCAGACAAACTCAGAAATCTGCTTTCCGGTAGATGATGGTTGGGCATGTGGCAGTGGCCAGGCGATGAGGGTGACAGTGGGTAGCTACCATGGCTAACACTTCTCAAGAGGAGGCTCAACCATTATTAACCGCACCAAACCTGCCTTTCTTCTCGAACTGCTCGTGTTCTAAACGGGTGACATCACTCACACCAACAGTCCTAACCCTAACAGCCTAAGGAACCTCAAAGTCTTTATGTCGTCAGCTGAGCTAGGTCGTTCAAAATAAATCCTCACGTTTCCCCAGCTCCTGGGTGTTCCACATGCTGTTTTACACTGGCAGCACTGACTTATATATAGCATGCGTTATGGTTTCATGGAAAAATCTTTGATTTAGCAGCTTGTACCTAGCTCTCTGGCTTATTTTTATAGTCTCACAAAGTTTAATAAGTAACGTGAACACGCTGAGAAAAACTCTTTCGTATAGCCTCCTAGGCATACTGCACTCAGAGAGCTTTGAGCAGGTCTCTGCCGTCTTATTTACCCTGAAATGCCGAATAGCTGGTGGGTTTTAAAGACTGTCTTAATTGGGAAGAGATTATCTACATCTGCAAATCTTCCAGGTCTCTTTCTCCATCCACCAATGGCTCTTGTAAAGTCGGTGTCTTCTATGAATTTCCTGAAACAACATCTCCCTTTTGAGGGCCAACACCATCCCAAGAGATTCCAGTACTGCTGATCACACTATTCCCATGGAACTTACCCTGCAGCTCCCTGTTATCACCACTGTATGGATATTTCCTATTTCCTGCTTAGGTCACCCTCAACTCTTGGTGCCATTCAGCTTCGTCACTTGTCTCAGGCCTGATACAGATTTTTTTCAATCGGGGACACTGGGTCCCTCCCCCTGATCTGTCTTTCAGCAGCTATCTGCCACCTGGACTCTGCCCTAAATCCTGCAGGTGAGAGGTGATGGCCCGCTGACACAGCGCCGCTTCCTCTCTTTCCCGCCCCAGTCCTCTGACACAGGCGTCTGCCCTTGCTGTGCCCTTTGGTTTCTCAACTCTAACGTTTAGAACGGCCGAGGGGCCTCAGACACGCCGGGTCTCTGCCCGTCCCGGTGCTTATTGCAGTCCACTTACCCTCTCGTGCTGACGGCATCCGCCGCACTGCCTCACTCACACGTTTGTCCTGCCATCAGCCCGGCTCGGTTGTCCTCGGGTCTCTGTCCAACCTCAGGTATCCGGAGAAAGGGGTTTATCGCCTGGTGCCAAAGTTCAGCAGCTTGAGCTGAAGTTTCAGCTTTGTGAGCGTCACAGAAAAAAAAAAGAGAGAGACCACGAGAGTATCAGAGGCCGTGCAAAGCTCGCCCCAGTCCCGGGCTCTGCGGGAGGCACATGGGAGCAGCTTCGTTCCTATTTAAAGTACAGACCAAAGTAGCCAAGAGCCGTTTTGTGTCCCCTGTACAGCCTGGCAGGATTTGGGTTACAGACCTCAAAGGACTGCTACCGAGTGTGCTGCTCCAGGGGATTACAGGCAGGAAAGCTGTCCCTGGGTCTCTGTCCTTCTTGAAAGGGCTCCCAAAGTATACGACCCGTGGCTAATATTAGACACTGCGACTTCAGCAAGCAATCCAATGCCCTTTCTGTGCTGCTTGGCTCTGCCCGCTCCTGCTGTGACCGCAGCCTGCAGTGCTATTTTCAGGGTGAATGTCAGGACCCCAGCGCTCACGTCACTCGGTCCCTTGCTGAGGTCCCTGCTCCTTCGTCCCCCTGCTCTGCGCACCTCGGAGAGGGAAGCGTCCTGAGAGCGCCCAGCAGCGTATCAGAGCCTTCGCCGCTCCCCTTGTGCGGGAAACCTCCGGGTGACAAACTGAATAGGGGATTTTATTTTGAACAAAACAGGTGCCATTCGGGGGTTCTCTGATGCTCACGGACGAGCACTGCGATGGATGCGTGCAAGTGGTTCAGCCAGGGTCACCTGCAATAACTCTGAGCACAGGCAACACATCTCTCATTTCTCTATGACCACGTGCTGTATTTTTGCATACGCCTTTCACATCCACAGAATCATGGAATGGTTTGGGTTGGAAGGGACCTTAAAGCTCATCTAGTTCCCACCCCCTGCCCCGGGCAGGGCCACCTTCCCCCAGCCCAGGTTGCCCAAAGCCCCGTCCAACCTGGCCTTGAACCCTGCCAGGGAGGGGACAGCCAGAGCTTCTCTGGGCAGCCTGTGCCAGGGCCTCACCCCCCTCACAGAGAATTTCTTCCTGATATCTAATCCAAACTCCCCTCTTTCAGTTTAAAACCATTACCCCTCATCCTATCCCTACCCCCTTGATACAGAGTCCCTCCCCCCTTTCCCACAGCCCCTTTCAGTCCCAGGGGGCCGCTCTAAGGTCTCCCCAGAGCCTTCTCTTCTCCAGCTGAACCCCCCAACTCTCCCAGCCTGTCCTCATGGGGGGGGCTCCAGCCCCTGAGCATCTCCATGGCCTCCTCTGGCCCTGCTCGAGCAGGTCCATGTCCTCCTAATGCTGGCCTTTGTCAGGGCCCAGACAATGCCATTCTACCTCCCTGAGACCCTTGGGGCTTTTACTGGACTTTACCGAAGCCCTGGCAGGGCCGTCCTGCCCTCCAGAATGCCCCAGGGCCTTTGCTGGGGAGTGCCAGAGCTGGCAGAGGGCCATGCTGCGCTCTGGGGTGTCCTAGAGCTTTTGGCCAGGCAGAGTCCTGGTAGCCTCCAGGTTCCCTGCAGGATGTTCACCGGGCTTTGCGGTGGCCTGTGCAGGGCCCTGCAGCCTTCGAGAGAGCCGCTCTGACCTCAGACCACGACACTCCACGTTAAGCATCACTATCGCTCCTGGAAACACTCCCCTCATGAACCCCCGACAGGTTAGTATTTATATGACAATATAGTTATGAGTAAGCAAAACAGGGGGTTTTTTTTAAATGTTATCGTTTATCTGTTGGCTGCCCACTGCGAGCAGGATGAGAGTGTGTTCAGATGTCAAGCAAGTCCTCAAGTTCTAGTCCATGAACGAGTCACCCCCCGAAATCCCGTTCAGCAAGTCCAGCTCAGGCTCTGCCCCGCCTGATGCTCCGGAGCGATGCGCCACTGGAGGAGCCGAGGGGTGCCCTTTGCCAAGGCGGACAGCACCCTCGTGTGGAACACCGGAGCCCCTGCACACCCCCCCGACCTGGCTCCAGCAAACCCTTCGAGCCGGGGTGTCCAGGCAGTTCTTCGCTCAGCACCCTGTGGGGCTGCGTGTCTCCCAGTGGGACATCTGGACCAGAAGGAGGCGAAATTCTGACTCGAGTCTAGAAAAATTACATCTCCAACCTTCCCTTCACCTGCTGGGTGGGTGACCTCATGCTAGAAGGATTATCTAATGAAATGAAAAGGACTTTCCCTCCGTGAACCCGTGTCGACTGTGCCTGATGGTTCGTTGTTATATACACGCCCTCAGGAGCGCCCAGTATAATCTTCTCCAGCGTTTTTCCAGGAGCCGAGGTTGGACTCACAGGTTCGGGGGTATTCCCTCTTCTTGTCAGCTGGAATCCCGCTGGCCAGCTTCCCGGGAGCTGGGACCTCCCAGACTCCCAGTGGGGAGGGATCCTGCCAAAGCATCCACCTTCTCCTCATTCAGCCGATCTCCAACAAATTCAGTGGCCACAAATGGAAAATCACTGTTCCCCTAGTCGGAGTGATTTGACTCAGGGGATCAGGCAGCCCAAGGACTAGGAATATTAGTAAAGACTGAGGCAAAAGACATGTTGAATCCCTCGCTTTGCCTTTATGCCTGTCAGGTGAACGTTATCCACAAGTCCCACTCTGATCTTTTCTTCAGAGCTCCTCTGGCTACAATCCTACTGAGAAATCCCTTCTTGGTGTCAGACACATCACTGGCCGCTCCCAACTCTAACCCAGCTTTGGCCTCTCCTCTCTCCTCACTGCGTGTGCCAGCCCCGGCTCTGCCCCTTCCTGCCAAGCCTGACCTTGCTCCCAGAGATGTGCAATTCCTTTTCCTCGGCAGCTCAGCGAGCAGGTCCCTGCTCAGCCCAGCCCCTTGTGCCCCCTCGCTCGACGCCTGACACAGGGCAGGTGCCTGCTCCCGAGCTCCTCCAAGGGGCTTCTGCAGCCCTGAGCAGCACTCGCCGGCTCCTGAGGCCTCACCTGCAGGTTGCCAGGGACTCTGCTAAGTACCTCCCCGAAGAAGTAACGTTTGCTCTCTCCAAACCCTCCGGAGCAGCTCTGCTGCCCTTTTCCCCTCCTTCCAGGGACCAGCTTCAGCTCAACAATCCTGTCATGGCTCTGGCCCAGACAGTCCCCTGCCACCCCATGTCCTATGATCCACAGCTACTGGGGAGCTGACAGCTGCCATAAGACAAGAGCTTTCTCCTTGTCCAAGAGCTGATACAAAGGTTTCTCCTATTCGCCTACAGAATAACATCTCATCAGTGCTCTGCCAGAGCCCGTGCAGGACCCTGCTGCCCTCTAAAGCGTAGCTGGGGCAGGGAGAGTCCTATGACCTTTCTGAGGCACACTGGAAGCGATTGGATTTAGGAGGAAATGCCTTACAACGAAGATGATGAGACTTTGGAACAGGTTCCCCAGAGAACTTGTGGAACTCCATCATCGGGAGCATTCAAAGTCAGCTTGGCTGAGGCTTTAGACAAGATTTACTGAAAGATATCCCTTCCCATTGCAGAACGTTGGAACTGAACGTTTGTTACAAGGTCTTCTCCGACCCAAACTATTCTATACGTCATAAAAAACCACAGGAATGCCCCAGTGGGAGCCCTCGAGCTCCCTCACATTCACCCAGCAAGCAGCACACCCACCCCACACGGCATCAGACTCCAAAGCTATCTGCAAAGACTTTTATTCGCTTCAAAGGATTAAAAAGTGGCCAAAACCCCCAGCACAGGACTACTGTGGGCCCTCGGCTGTGCCACAGACAAAGCACCCAAGTTTCAGTAAACCAACAGCTTCCCAGAAGGACGGCACACATCAGAAGTGCTGCCCCCCCAGCCCTCAGGGGGTTCAGACACCCCTCAGTGGGGCACAGGCAGCAGCCCAGGGCCAGACGTGGGCTCAGAGGCGGACAAGGAAGGCCAGGTCAAGGCCATCGGGGATGCAAAGCTCATCCAGGTGCAGGGGGGAGGCACTGAAGGGCAGGTGCACAGGGAAGAGGTGGCTGGTGTCCACCAGGAGCTGGCCGGATCCCTCTCCATACCGGTCCTGCAGCTGCCTCTGCGGGGACACAGAGCTCACTCCCAGGGCTGCCCCAGTCAGGACAGCCCCCCCCAGCACCAGAGCCCAGGTCCCGCTTACCTCAACCCTGCTGATGAAGCTGGGGCTGACACGCTCCTCCAGCCCGGCAGACGGGGTGTAAGCCCGGAGGATCTTCACAACCTGGAGGAGATGGCGGCAACCGTGAACAGGGAAGGGCGCATCCTGGGGGTATGGTGTGGCCCCCACCCCGGTGCCACCACATGCCCAGCGCACCCAGGGAGGCCAAGCAGCCCTGGGTCAGGAGGAGTGCCCAGCGGGCAGCGAGCCCCAGCCCCTCCAGTACCTGTTGGGGTGAGAGCGCCGTGCACAGGCTGCAGAGAGCTCCAGCGTCCTCCTCTGTCACCTTCTTCACCTGCAGCAGCTGGGCAGCCTGGACCAGGGGCTCCAGCATCTCCCAGGCCCCGCTCTGGTGCAGCCCCTCCGCCCGCAGCCACTGCTCCAGCTGACTGATGTTGTACCTGCCCGGGAGCCGCAGTCAGGGGCGGGCACGGGCCGTGCCCCGGCTCCCCCAGATAGAGCTGCACGGGGACTGACCTGAGCTGGATGCCACGGCTCCAGCAGCACGTGTCCTTTCTCAGCAGCAGGTAGTTGAGGGTGGTGCCAGTGACCAGGAAGAGGAGCTGGCGCAGGGCCTGGTGCCCCACGCTGGGGGCCAGCCCGTGGTGGTCCATGGCCGCACAGAAGGAGCCCAGCTGCTGCAGCAGCTCAGGCAGGGTGTGGGCAGGGGCTGTTGAGGACCGGCGGCGGCCAGGAGGGCAGGACGAAGACAAGCCCTGTATGGGCTCACTTTCCAGCATTGCAGCAACTACAGGGTAGAAAAGGCTCATCGTAACAAGGCAGACACCCTGCATGATGCCTCCAGCAGCGCCTTGTCTCTGTGTCCCAGCTGGGGACGCAGGGGCCAATGACACCTCCAGAATAGCTGGTCCAGGCTAGCCCAAGGGCTGGCCCCGCTCCATGAGGCTGCAAAGTGGGGCATGGGGTAACAGAGGTCCCCACGGATGCAGCCCAAGGTCCCCACGGATGCTGAGACCACGCCAGGATGCTCGAGGAGCAGATGGTCCCCCATAGAAGGGGGCCCCCAGTTCAGACCCGACCTTGCCCCTCTGGGTACCGCCTCCGTAACAGAGCGGGCAGCTCACCCAGCTGAGCGCAGCGCTCCCTCCCTCAACCCCTGTCCCACAAGTGCCCTGCGAGCCCAGGCCATACCAATCATGGGTCTGAGGCGCTTCTCAGCCGTGCGGATAAGCTGCTGGTAGAGCTGGACAGCCAGGGCCCCCAGGCTGTGGCAGGAGCTCTGGGGGTCCACGTTCCGCAGGCGATGCTCGTTCTGCTGCGCCGTGTTCCCCTGCCAGTAAAGCTGCGGGCACAGGCTGGGTGAGAGCCAGCAGGACCCGGGGACACAGCAGGGGACACAGCAGGGTCCCCAAGCAAGCGTGGAGCCGTGTCAGCCCCACACATCGCTGGCTACCTAGGATGGGGCAAAGAGGGTGCAGCCCCAGGTGGGGGCAAACCC